CATAAGTATGACATTTTCATATAATACACTCACCCCTCATGTGACACTGTACTTTATCGAGTGTTGTACAATTTTTTGGCTACTTATTGTTAACATTAACTACGCATCACTTCACTATTATTTTCGAAAACAGACATTTTTTAAATGTGCTATTTTCTACGAGGGGGCTATGTAGTGTTAGTCATTAGTTTTAGCTCATAATATATTTTATTCTAGTTTTCGGACATCCCATTCTATTCATTCTACTTGAGTCATGTTTTGACCTTGTTAATTATTCGCTTATTAGCCTTGACTGTTTTCACATGAGCGTACATGTGTGTACACTTCATGTCCGATGACTCATCACATGTCTGTAGTTTATTTTGTCTGCCTATAAATATTGAGTAATGTTCGGCTTGAATTGGAGTTGGCTTCCCAGCCACCTTCCCCGCGCGTCATTTCGCTTTGTTCTATCGCATTCACTTTACATACAAAATATATGTATTCAAAATCCCATTCTCGTTATTTGACTTATCTAAATTCCGTTATTGACTAACGTGATTTAAGTCAACGATGATATACGAGAATCAGCGATAGCAAACATTCGTACACTCCAAAAAGGAGTCAGATCAAAAGGGCCACTAAACGCCTACCAACGACTACAATGAAGACGCTAAAGATCAATTCTACAATAGGCTGCAGTCAGTAGTCGAGAAGTGTCCAACAAAGGACCTGAATATTCTGGTGGGAGATTTCAACGCCAAGGTTGGAACGGACAACACTTGATATGAAGAAATCATGGGACGACATGGACTGAAAGAAAGGAACGAAAATAGTGGGAGATTTGCAAACCTATGTGCCTTCAATAAGCTGGTCATAGGCGGCACCATATTCCCACATAAACGCATACACAAAACCACATGGACTTCACCGGATCACACTACACAAAACCAAATCGACCATATCTGCATCAACAAAAAGTTCAGGAGGACGATGGAAAACGTGAGAACCAAGAGAGGAGCTGATATAGCATCAGACCATCACTTGCTGATCACCAAGATGAAATTGAAACTCAAGAAGCACTGGACAACGGGGCGGACAATATCACAAATGTTCAATACGGCCTTTCTTCACGATACTAACAAACTCAACAAATTGAAGATAGTCCTCAGCAATAAGTTCCAGGCCTTTCATGATCTACTCAATGGAGAAGGAACTACTGTGGAGAGCAACTGGAAAGGGGTCAAAGAGGCAATCACTTCAACATGTCATGACGTCCTGGGTCACAAGAAGCACCATCACAAGGAATGGATCACTTTTGATACACTGGATAAGATTCAAGAAAGAAGGAACAAGAAAGCAGCAATCAATACCAGTGGAACAAGAGCAGAAAAATCCAAGGCACAAGCTGAATACACAGAAGTAAACAAACAAGTGAACAGGAGCATTAGAACTGACAAACGTAAATATGTGGAAGATTTAGCAGTGACGGCGGAAAAGGCTACAAGAGAAGGAAACATGAAACAAGTGTATGACATTACCAAGAAACTCTCTGGAAATCACCGCAAACCAGAACGACCAGTGAAAAGCAAGGAAGGCGAGGTAATCACCAACATTGAAGAACAATGAAACAGGTGGGTAGAACACTTCAAAGAACTCTTGAATCGACCAGCCACACTGAACCCACCCAACATTGAATCAGCACCCACGGACCTCCCAATTGAGGTTGGCCCACCAACGATTGACGAAATCAGCATGGCCATCAGACAAATCAAGAGTGACAAAGCAGAGGGACCAGACAACATTCCAGCAGAGGCACTAAAAGCAGACGTAGCGGCAACTGCAAGGATACTCCACATTCTCTTCAATAAGATTTGGGATGAGGAACCAGCACCAACAGACTGGAAAGAAGGACTCCCGACTAAAATACCGAAGAAAGGCAATCTCAGCAAGTGTGATAACTACAGGGGTATCACTCTTCTCTCAATACCGGGAAAAGTCTTCAACAGGGTGTTGTTAAACAGGATGAAGGACTGCGTAGACGCCCAACTTCGTGACCAACATGCAGGATTCCGTAAGGATAGATCGTGTACAAACCAAATCGCAACTCTACGGACCATTGTGGAACAATCGATTGAATGGAACTCATCACTCCACATCAACTTCATTGACTACGAAAAGGCATTTGATAGCGTGGACAGAACAACACTATGGAAGCTTCTTTGACACCACGGCGTGCCTCAGAAGATAGTCAATATCATACGGAATTCCTATGTTGGATTAAACTGCAAAACCGTATGTGGAGGACAACTGACAGACTCGTTTGAAGTAAAGACCGGTGTCAGGTAAGGTTGCTTACTCTCACCCTGTCTCTTTCTTCTGGTGATCGACTGGATCATGATGATGTCAACATCTGAAGGGAAACGCAGGATACATCTAGGATGCAGCTGGACGACCTAGACTTCGCAGATGATCTGGCCCTCCCATCGCAATCGCAACAACAAATGCAGGAGAAAACGACTAGTGTAGCAGCAGCCTCAGCAGCAGTAGGTCTCAACATACACAAAGGGAAAAGCAAGATTCTACGGTACAACACAGCATACACCAATTCAGTCACAGTTGACGGAGAAGATTTGGAAGATGTAAAAACCTTTACGTATTTGGGCAGCATTATTGATGAACAGGGTGGATCTGATGCAGATGTGAGGGCGCGGATCGGCAAAGCAAGAGCAGCATATCTACAACTGAGGAACATCTGGAACTCAAAGCAACTGTCAACCAACACCAAGGTCAGGATTTTCAATACAAATGTCAAGATAGTTCTACTGTATGGGGCAGAAACCTGGAGAACTACGAAAGCCATCATCCAGAAGATACGGGTGTTTATTAACAGTTGTCTACGCAAAATACTTCCGATCCGTTGGCTGGACACTATTAGCAACAACGTACTGTGGGAGAAAACAAAACAGATCCCAGTGGAGGAAGAAATCAGGAAGAAGCGCTGGAAGTGGATAGGACACACATTAAGGAAAGCACCCAACTGCGTCACAAGACAAGCACTCACATGGAATCCACATCATTACTATTAGCAGTACCGTCAGGGCTGTGTATAACCGATATATATTTCTTGACCATTTACATGACTCATGACAGAGCTTCAAATAAAATTGGATTTCGCGAACGATGACCATTAATTTCAATATCAGTTAGACAAACAATACCTTACATTTGTATTCATATCCCGTTAATGCACTTTGCCTTTTATGCAGTCCAGAAATTAGATATCGGCAGCATTTATAGCACTGTACGCAATTACATTCAAATACTTAAAGGTTACTGAACTCATCTAGACTGACATCCTCCTCCTTGTATCTCGATAATATGTGGTACCACAAAACTATCACAGAGAGTAGCACACAAATTCAAGTGCATTACTGAATTACATAGTTGTTTTCAGGAAACTCTGGAGGTGTAAAACTCCAAAACAAATAGTTCTGTTAGTCCTTCACATTGATGCTGTCCTCGGCAGTTTAACTGGACACATCCCAGCCGAAGGCGCTCAGCTACAGATCCGCAGCAGATGATGGGTGTGCACATCATGCTGCACATTTCTCGCAATTGTCAGCCAGCTTATACCAAATGCTTCATAACGTATCAATAACTTTCCAAGCATACCTTCGAAACCCTTCATTTCTGAATTTAATTTGGTTGGTTTGGTATACTTTGATTATAAAGGTGTTACGTGTTAAGGGGTTGATAAACCCCGAGTAACCGAGGTACTTTAAAACCTTACCAGTTGTGGCTGTACTGAGCATTACGTGCTGAAAATCAGCTATAAACATCATGGTAGAAGATATAGATTTGTTCTGAATTCCAACCCAGTTTGTTAAGTTGTCCGCTTCATTTAAGTTTTTAGATGCATCTTGAGTAAAACAGTTTGAATCTCTACACTTAGTCGATCCTAAAGTAGGACGTTGGTTTGGGTCTTTAGGCGGACACACTGACTGGTTATTATGGTAGGCTACGATATGAACTGTGAGGATCAATGGTAAAAAACAATCCTGCTGATTAACAACAGGCATTTTACCTCTCTCGTCTTACATTTGGTCACGAAGTCAACGAACGACTTTTCCGACCCAGTGGGCGACACGACACTGTGATAACCACGACTATCATACAGCCTTCTGAAATTTGTTTATTGTAGTTTCTTAGTCACAACAAACTTTGGGATAATTACATTATCGATAATCATACAATCTACCCAAGTTTTAAATTCATGTGACAGAGAAATCTTTAGCTGATAGACACCTTGTTCGGGAATACTCCTCTAACCTGCAATGAGTAGTAAAGGTGATTCAACTGAAGACATATGGACAATAGAAGTAAACAAGTCAAAATCTAATTTTACACCACTGTTACTCTCATACTTTTTCATGCTAAAAAGTGTCCTGACAATCATGTAAACACACAAGGCTTGTCGAGTGACTGAAAAAACGTTTGGACATGTCTTGCTAGTTATCTATGACAATAATTACTATTATTGTTATCATCATGATTAAACAGTTCTCTCTATTTCTCCAGTCGTCACTCTCATTCATCCGCTGACCCCCACTTTTTGGTTCAACTGATCGCTTGATTTATTGATTCGCATTTTTACTTTTTAATTCTCTCCACTTCTACGGACTATAAATATATATTTTTGACAAAATAGCTGTTGAGTGTAGCAACCCTCCCGATTTTACAGATGTGCAGTGAACTGAAACCAAGGTAACTCAACTCTTAAATAACTAACGAATTTATTGAAACTATGGCATTTGGTTCTCTAGACTGTCCCCACTAGATGCTACAAAATCCTGGAACCGTACATTAACATATTGACGAAAAATTCAGAAAAGCAACCTAACATATTCGCGCTTGTTGAAAAAATGTACATTGAAGTATTTTTGATTCTTTTCTTCCTGTTTATGCTCTCTGAGCAATTAAAATATACTACTACTGTGCAAAGTATGATTCAATGCATTTTGTTTTATGTTGCATTCTGGATTGGAGACCTCTGACGCGCGCACTTTTCAAGAGCTTCTAGCGTGGGGACCGCACTATTAGATGGAATCGTCTGGTGGAGGTCGCGGTGGTTTTCGTGGTTCGTTTGGAGCTAGAGGAAGGGGACGTGGACGAGGGCGTGGTCGTGGACGAGGTCGTGGTCGTGGAGTTGCAACAAAAGAATGGAAGCCTGTTACCCAGTTGGGACGTCTGGTATTCGACAGGAAAATCACTACATTAGAAGAAATTTACATGTTCAGTCTCCCAATTAAGGAGTGTGAAATTGTAGATACCATATTGGGTTCAAGTTTAAAAGATGAAGTCCTCAAAATCATGCCAGTTCAAAAGCAGACCTGTGCTGGTCAGAGAACCCGTTTTAAAGCAATTGTTGCAATGGGGGACCATAACTGTCACGTTGGGCTAGGAGTTAAATGTGCTAAGGAGGTCGCTACAGCTATTAGAGGTGCTATTATTCAGGCAAAGTTGTCAATAATTCCTGTAAGGAAAGGATACTGGGGTAATCAGATTGGAAAACCACACACTGTTCCATGTAAAGTGACTGGAAAATGTGGTTCTGTGTCAGTACGTTTGATCCCAGCTCCTCGTGGGACAGGTATTGTTGGTGCTCCAGTTCCCAAAAAACTCCTTCAAATGGCTGGTATCGATGATGTGTACACAAGTGCTCGGGGTCAGACCTCAACCTTGGGAAATTTCGGTAAGTTCATTTATTGTCATGTAACTAAACTCAACCTTCAGCTAAAGCAACGTACGCAGCCATACGAGCTACCTATGAGTATCTAACACCTGATTTGTGGGACGTGGTTCCAAAAACAAAACACATATTTGTTGAATATGCTGGATATCTTAACAAAATTGCTAAAGAAGTTTGAATGATAATATATGTTGGTGGATATTAATTTGTTCTGTTAATGTAAGTTTGCAGTGGTATAACAGTTTTCTGCATAAATTTATTTCGCGAGTCCACTCAAGAAAGCTTTCCGTAAGATATATACAAAACGGGTTCTTAAACGAAAAACGACTGACATTTAATTAATAAAACTAACGTGTACATAATATGTCTTCCCACGAAAATTAAAAATTTAACCAATGTTTCGTGACTTGCGTAGATTGTATTAAGTATTTGATACAGTGCTACAAAGTTTGTCTGACAAGTAAAAACGTTGGTAGATTCTTTCACAAAGTTATCAGTCTGATTCCAGGTCCTGTTCACTCTCAATATTGGTGCTTTAAGGTACGTGTGTGCTCCACTTTTAGCTCGGTATGGGAATTTGAACTTTGGACACCATAGGAAAAAGTTTTGTGCTCAGTTGGTAGTTTTTAAAAGAGGAATTACTGACTCATTCATGTTTTCAGGCGTTTCGCAGCTTGACCCTCGGCTCCTAGATGCAATGCATTTTACCTGAACTGATGTTTCTAGTTATTATGCTGCCAGTTCTTTATTCAATGGGTATTTCATTCGGTTATGAATTTCTCGCTGAGCTTTCTATACACATATATTTTAGATTGGCTGTCGTTGTCTCTAAGTCTTTAGAATATTTCAATGCCTGGAATAGTAATATGTCAAAGTGAGGTACAGAAGTGTGATATCCTTCTCAGTGGGTTTTGGCTGTGGTCGTCGCTGGAGCAGGTTGGACAGTCATTCGTTTTTCTTTCAGACCCAACCAGTTGTGTGCCGTCACTCTTAGATCATATAATGAATATGCGGGACAGTAAAAATAGAAAATAGAAGCATCCAGAAACCAAATCATTGTCTTATTAGTAAGTTTTCTATGCGTCATCTGGATTCGTTCACAAACCTTGGTACTTTAGTCAAAAACCTTAATTAAAACTCGAGGTAATCAGTAACTTTCCATATTTGGTGTGTTTGCAGCAAATCTTTCGTTTATTATTTTCATCTAAGTTCTCTGTTATTCGTTCGAAAAATAAATCAGCTCTGCCGATAGATTCAGATCCTTTGTGATACTATCTTAACAATACGTGTTTCGTCAGCTGTGGGCGGAGCTATTGAATCATCATAAACTGAGAATTATCTCATTACAAAGTACTTGCACTCGCTCTAGATCACCAAGCTACCCTGAGATTGGTAACTTTCAAGTTTACAAGATAAATATGATTTAGTTTAATTACTCCGATTAACATAACTTGTTTCGTGCTTGGTTAAACATCTATAGGACTATGTATCTAACAGTTAATTGGCTTCATCAAATCATGGTGAAATTCGTCTATACAGTAGTTATGTAGTCGTTCATAAGTGAGCTACGAAGGAAACATTGGTATGTTCAACCACTACAGATTTGTACTGATAGGAATAATATAATTATTTGACGCATAAACTCATGTTTTTCACGTGTTTATGAAATTGCTGAGATTCTCATTTGTAGGAGAAATAAATCAATCTATATATTTTCAAAACAAGCTTACTAATCATTTTAGGTTGGCACCGTAGATGACCAGTTCATGTCTCTAAATTCAGTTCATGGGCTTACTTATCATTGTAGTTAAAAAGGTATCGAGGAAAAGAACCTTAATTTAGCCTAGGGTTGCTAACTTGTGTACAGCCTAGTATTTCCTGGTCTCTATTCTCATCTCAGAAAATAACCAATAAGTGTAGCACCGCACACTTAGGGAGGTTTCGTCGTAGCATTACGATACCTGAAAATTAGGCCTGAAAGTCAGGTCTTAATTGATTAAAGAATGAACGACCTACGAGCTAATTCATTTTAAATGCCTATGACACTTTACGGTGTTCATTTTATGTTTATCTGTATATAAACGTGTCACTTTATTACCTAGAAATCCTTTGGCTAGTGGCCCTGTCTCTTCTAACCATTCGGGGTCTTCAGTTAGGTATGGTCTTGTGAGTAGCCATAAATCGGTATTATTACTTCATAGCATTTGCCTGCCGATTAACATTCTTTTCATAGACTTTAACAGAAAATCGCCATAGCAGAAAGTTATATTCGTTTGGTCAGTTCCATTTTCAGTTTATTTCCTGAATAGAAATATGTGTCATAATCGATAATGAAATGGGGGTCACGCATAAAACTTGTTTTTGGGGGTTCAAGGATTTGATTTGAATTTTTACAAATTATGGTTCCCTTTCCTCTTCACCAGGCTTTTTTGAAGAATTGTAACTTATACGGTATCAAGGGACTCAGCAGTGCGCATCTACGGTCCCGCACGCGTGACTCGAATGCAGGACTGCGCAAACACTTAACCATTGGACAACTGATTTCTAATTCAACTGTTATAATGGATCTGGCCATAATACAAACCACCGAAAATTTCACTGACATAGATTATAATTAGATGTTTTGCTTCATATGTACCTTTATAGTTGTTAGCAGTATAATTTGTATGTATTTGCTGTATATTTCATAACAGCATTGTAGTAATGCTGGATTCTAGTAAAACTGTGCTGACTGGTGACTAATCTACAAATATGATAGTCTAGACATTGTGGTCACAGAAACATTGGTTTACATTACCTTCAATAAGAGCTGTTAACCCAGACGTCCAAACATTCGTAATAGTACATCATTCAATGTATCACTCGAATCCTCACTCTGTGCCTGTTTTTTATATGAAAATTAAGCTGGTATACATTCACCAAAATATAAAGTTAACCCCTATGATCACTCATTCAAACAAGTATGTATCGGTCGCTACCAAAAGCCACTGTATAGTTAGATCATCAAGTATAACACTCATGATAGTTCCTCAATGTCATTCACCAGAATGTGTTCGAACCTAATAATGCTATTTATTTATTTAAACACAAACATTGGTACAAGGGGACATCAAGTACGTAGGCGCCACACAATGACAATGAGCCCAGTAGCAATTGCCGTTGGTGTGTGTGAGGGCTGTGGTACTGCCCGGGTGCCCAGACCGAAGCAGGTGGTTCTCTTATTGGGCCACACCCCGAGTCTTTGACCTAAAAATCTAGTCCTTAATACAGTGGAGTGACTTTAGGAGATGCAGTTCCTTGGTAGCCGGTAACCAAAAATGGGTTCGCACGCCTTTTTCTCCTCAGGATCCTCGAGCCCATTGATTTGGAATCAGGGTTTTCCAACCACGTTATGTGGATCCTCCGTATTCACCAACTCGGTTAGAGCGTCGGACATTTACTCTGCGTCCTCTCCGTTTCGTAACCGACACCCTCGCCACGTTAGGAATTCTCTGACAGTGGCTGTATACATGTGGTCATATGAGAGCAATTTGAGGAGGGCAGACTATTCACCATCGGCTGTACCAGGACATCCATATTCCAGTTATAATTCACTAAGTCCTAATCCTACGTTTTTAAAATATGAGACAATTAGTAGAATATTCCCCGGTAGTTTTGGTTAAAGATTTCTTATGAAACCATGATTTTTACATTAAATAGTTCAGTGCTTTCTCGGATTTTTTTATGTGGCTGTATATTTTGAAATGTAAATCAGTGTCAATTGCATGTATACAAATATTCTTTCATCATTAATGGTAATGACTCACTCGTAGCCTTTATTTCGTCAGTCATTTTTCATAAGCAGTTTCTCACTATTTTAGTATCCAAGCACAAACATTAAATTCAATCAATCAATAAAAGAGACAACTGTATCCATTTTCAAACATAATTAACTTTAGCCTACTTGTAAACCGTTTCACTTCACAGTGAAGTGATATTTTCCTACTACATATACAATTTAGTGAATATGGAGACGGTTTCTTTCAAAGTGCTATAGTTTTGCGCCGAAGATTTCAAAAATGACAATGAAAGCTCAAATAAATCACCTAGCTCAGACTATATTATCACCAAAAGCATCTAGCTTAGCCACAAATCTCCCCCATGACATCCTACTATATATTACTTGGAAATTACTTGTATCAACTTGCAAACGAAATAACTAGCGTTATTGGAAGCAGTATTCCCTTAAAGTGAAGGATAGTATAATTCCTAAGTGGGATTTTATTTATCATAAGCTTTTTAGGGTTTAAACGCTGGTGAGTAGACATCAGTATAAGTTTGTTGTTTGTATTGCAAACTTGAAGACAACAACCTGCCTAACAATGAATATGGAGTCTTCGGTTAAAGTTATTACAGTATATCGTAGATTAAGGTAGTGGCGTCAATATTACTCGTCATGAACCTTGAGTTTGTAGTCAGATTTAGTAATCTTCGCAAAACTATTGGAAGAGGTCAGTCTGAAAAAAATTATGCACCAAACCATATTATGGTCTACAACGCACTCATACGTCCTTCGGTATCAAGGATGCGTTGTTATGACTGGCCGGTTAATTATACGTCTACAAGTTCAATTGCTCTTACGGAGCAAGCTACGCACATCACTCGTCAAACCTTTTCGTTCTTTGATTTTAACAATTACAAAATGGTTTAGAAACGGACAACGTACGCAAGTTATACCTTTCCTCCAACTTACAGCAAATTTAGGTAAACTTAAATATTTCCTTTGAATTTATCAACAAAATCCGATCTAACTTTCAAAAGGATAATATCTGGATCTATTTTGTGATACAGCTCAGTACAGATCCGTGTACTCGGCTGCGAGTCATTTTATGTGTAGGTTTTTGTCGTATTGCTCGGCTTCCCAAGTCGAAGTAGGTAGGATTTGAAACTGCCTGGATGTTTGAGAGTCGAGATTTAAAACCAAGAATCCACCATTATGACTAATCCTGTGATACAAAAGCCTTAGCGATCCACAATTTACCATTAGGGCTACGTGCATAAATAGTTTGTTGGTTTCTCATCGATAACAATACATTATGATAGGTTATTTCTACTTAGTGAATACATAACACAACATTTGATTATTATGAAAGTGATCTCTGACTACTCACATCGTTAAGAAATTATATTTTTTGCGAATACAAGATATTTTAGAGTAGTTTAATCCAAAGACTATGCATCTAAACTTTAAGACAATAATTCTCAGGACTATCCAATCCCAATAATCCTAATGTAGTGAAAATTTAAAAAGCTCAGCAAACGTAAGTGGTATCTACTATGCCGTCGAATAATGTGCGTCATCTTACTTCAGTGATATTCCACTTACATAAGTGTCACAAGCAAATGATTACTGAGAACTATCCTGATTTCAAAGTCTCAAATTATTAGGTTTGCCTGCTGTTGGTATCATTGGAGCGATTAGTTACCACTTCCAAGTCTTGAAGGATTGATCTTGGTTTCATTGCATGGTGCATGTTAACGTCCCACAAAAAGTACTTAAAGGTAATTGATATTGTTCGCTTATGAAAAAACTGTCCGATCGTTTCCGCCGGGTTTCGCACTCCTTGGATTTTGAAAACACAGCCACTAGCTTCAAAAAATTGTAAGAGAATCAGTAGTAATTATGT